AAAACAGCACACTTACTGAGCCCCTTTATGGAGTGCACAACAAACACACTTCACAAGACACCACGCTGTCAGAACCACTGTAGCAGTCACCACCACCAGGAGTCCCGCATTAACTCCTACTCCGATTGCTATGTACATGACATCTGAATCTGCAGTCAGTTTAACAGCTCACAGTCCTGCGTCACGAAGCATCGTCGAGTGAGATATTCACAAGTCCATAGTGGTGCCACACAGAACGCGCCGATCGTCTGCCATGAAGAGGGCATGTTTTGTAGTGTATTCTATGTACCACATTTTCGAACAAGAGTACATGGAAGCCACCAGAGCATCTACACTAGTTCACTTGGCTGCTGCGCAGTCAGTGAAAGTGCTAAGTTATCTCTGTTTACCATCTTTGCTCGCCATGCAATTGCACTCCACAGGAATTGAGCACCCGCCGGCATCGAAGTATGTGCTGACTGTACCTGTTGCCTGCTGCATTAGTTTTGTTTGCAGTACTTATTAACGACTTCCATGGTGAAAGTAGGTTGTTCCTTAGCAAACTAGCATACATGCATGAAATCTAAAAGGAAAATCAAGTGTTTTAGGAGCCCTCTGCTTCTGAGTGATAGCTATGCTATTGTCCAGGCCAGACGAGTGGGACGAGTGTGTGTGTGGTACAGTGCAACAACCAGCCGTGTTAATTCTTAGTAGCATACTGTGGTGAGTGTGAACTACCAATCATGCCCCAATATTCTGTATATGTGAGTGAGGTACAATGATGCTACGTAAGGGCGGAGGTGGTGAACTAAGACTAGGTGGGCAGGGACCAGCGAGCGCCGGGGAGGACAACGTCTGCGAGCAGCAGCCTGAGAGTGCTGAGACACCTGTGCACAAGGCTGAGGGTGACCCTGGAGCTCTCTCATCCTGTCACTATCGTAACCCTACTAATAAGCTACCGTGTCTGAGGAACTTAAAAAGCCCAAAACACTCATAAACATAACTACCGACTGACAAACCAATTACTCTATCCCTGTCACGAGTGGTCAACTTCTTCCGGGATCCAGCAAGGTTGAACACTTTCACTAAACAGGGCTTACTTGAATGATTACAAGAGGAATGCAACGCATTTTTGACGTGCGAAGTGAGCAGTTCAATATTCCGCATGTGTTTTTCATGTATTTAGAAGCACGTAGAACACAGAGGTCACTGAGGACATCTGTTAGCTTCAGTACCTAATGCTTTCCATCTCCATAATCTATCTTGTGCACAAGCAGCTGAAGGAGATGCATGTAGTTCTAGTATATAGGAGGGACAGTGGCCATGTGCCCTCTGTCTTCCAATATGTAGTGTATTAAAAGCCCAAAACATCATAAACATACCAACTGACAAACCAATTAGCTGTCATGTGTGGTCCACTTCTTCCATTCACCAACCACACCCAAAGACACAGTCCAATGACAAAGTTGATGTTTCACTTAAGGCATTCTCTAATTTTTGCATTATTGGGAACTGAGCACAACAGAAGCAGTGTCCACAACAGAAGTAGTGTGTGGTGTGTGTAGCTTCACTGCTGGACTGCTACTTGGTGTTCTACTGTCTCAATGTCATGGTCACTGTCATAGGAAGGGGAAGAGAGGCCAGACTGAGATACCTCCTGTTTATGAGGACATTCCCTTGGAGAAGACCCCTCCCATTGAACTCACACAAACAATGTTTAGTTTGTACACAGTCTATTCCAAAAACCGATAAGCAATCACAAAGAATTAGCAAACAGAGTATCAAGCAAGGTTCATTTGTTTGGAGTGATGTGCCCATAAGCAGGGTTGTGTTGTGTGGTGGTGGGTAGAGAGTGAGAGACTCCATAAGCCACATTCTCACTGGTGTCTGGACCAGTGGGTGTCACCACATCACTCACTGTCTCATACACCACTGCTGGAGGTCGGGACTCACAAACAACACTGTGGTGTGTGTTGAGGGAGGAAGTGTGATAAAGTAACTGAGAGTGAAAGTTATTGTAAAAACGTATGTTTTGCCCTCTCTCACTTTAACGGTGGATTTGCAAACTGGAGCATATTCGCTAAAGGTCAACATCTACACAGCAAGTTTGTTGTGTGAAACAAAACACTCTCATACAACTTCACTCTATGGGTATGATTGGTTCATGAAACATGTTGCAAATAGTCTGAAACTGATGGCCTGACCCATCAGACTGTACATAGCAGTTCATGTCTCGACGCACAAAGTGTGTGGCCTGTTAAGCATACACAGATTTTAGTGGCTCAACCACAGTGTGACAGGGACAGGAGTAGTCTTATTAACTCACAACTGTGGTCTATCTGTTAGTTGCAAGCTATGGCCTTGGCGGATCAGGAAGAAAAAAAGAGTGTCATCCCTCTGGCAAACAGAATTCCCCACTGACAATAATACGTAACAGTGAATACAGTATGACATACAGACATACTTGTGTTGCACTCAGCTCTGAGTCTCTGTTGGAGTGTCCTACAGGGTGCTAGTCACCTCAAAACAATGTCAGCGTTCATTATACATACCTTTGGAACTCTGCTTCCTCATGATAACCAATCAACACGTGCTTGTTCCAACCATCCAGAAATAAGTCAACTACCACTCCACAGCACACCTACACCAACTCCAATTGCTATGTACATGACATCTGAACTCCTGCAGGTCCGGTTTAACAGCCTCAGTCACACACCTACATCACCTATTATGTACACACATCTCTCCACATCACACTCTGTCACTCAATGACTAGACTAACCAGGGGCGTTGGGCTGGAGTGTTTGACTTGCAGTTAGACATCTTTTTCTATTAACTATCTGGAGTGGGGTCATATTACACTTTGTAACATACTATAGTCTTACGTGTAATGGTAGTTTGTTTTGTTACAGACCCCCCCCAACAACACGACCACCCCCCCACAAGTAAACATAAGGCGCCCACCCCACAGACCCCCACCCCCCCCCCCATACCCCATACCACAATTGACATCCCCCATACCCCATATCCATCAAATACCCCGAAATTACACACCCCCCCCCATACCCAATACCCCAAACTACACCCCCTACACCCCCCGCCCCCCACACAGAATACCCTCCATACCCCCACCGCCTTCGCCCATACTCTTAATCCCCCCATACCCCAGCCATAACATAGCTTCTAAACCTACATTCTCATCGCCCGGAGATACACCCTCCCATCACACCAGATCCCCACTCAAACCCACACGGCCCGGAATCCGGTCTGTGGGGTGGTCGCTTTCTCCGACGCACGCACATCCAAAACAGATCACAGAATACACCTGCCACCTACCACAGACGCACACATAAACCCCACAACAGTCTCCCAGTAAACGCAGCACACAAAGCTAGAGAACATACACACTCAATTTCTCTGTCCGGCTGGAGTAGTCTTGTACACGTATATGAGAGTCTCAGAACACTACCTCTCTCATAGTGCTGGCGCCACTGCTGTGGCCACCCCACACAACTGATGGTTGTGTTCACTGAGTTCTATGACCGTGATTGCTCTGGAAAGGATTTTAGTAGCGTCTCTCTACTTGCGTGCAGCGATCAGTAACCGTTCCAGCCAACATTGATGTGACTAGCATTCCTCCTCCGACAGCTCTTACATTCTCTGGAAAGATGGCAACACTGTAAAAAGATTGTTGTTGTTTTCAGTCAACTTTGACTCAGATACTTACAGCAGTCAGTGGCAGTTTCTCCATTGTAGATAAACTATCATTGACACGAGTCACACCATGGACAGTGAAGTATAGTCATTCACATTGCCATCCCAGATAAATACTACAGTTATTTCACTACCATACTGGTCACATTACACGAGGCATTCCCTCTTCACTGACAGCAGTGACCACATAATAGTTGACAACATTCTCACCATACACTGGAGACTGGAAACTTACACACAGCTGATGAGGATCACACACCACTGACAGACTAGTGGGAGGGGAGCTGGACCTTGCGCACAATAATATTGATCACAGGAAAATGTCAGACATAGCCAAAGTACGTACCTGCTATACATATTTTGGTAGTGTTAGCAATCTCAGATACTCATTTGAACAAACGTAAACACCCTCACAAGTATGTCAGTCTCATTCAATTCAAGTTGCTAACGTGTAGAACTGATGTATAGTTGCTAGATTTCTTACAAAACGTATTTGGAAGCCACCTTCCTCAGTATAAAGAGTGTCCATCATCGTTTGTTGACGACATCGCAGTCCTATTGATTGTAGCCGTTCGCCATGCAACTCCTACTCCGAGGTCACCTCGCATCTATAATCCTCCTTGGGGCACAGGCAGCGTTTTGATGGGAGTAGTAGCGGTAGGTTATCTGAAAACGTGAAGTCAGGGATGTGTATATATCATGTATCACTAAGCTAGCTTACCAGTCCCAGAGATGATAGGTACTGTGAGAACTGCCTGCGAAAAAAACACTAGCCAAACTTTGCAGCGGACCATCACGAGCGAGCGTGTCTCATTCTGCGCGTGCGCGTGTGCAGTTTAATGGCGGCACTATGGGCGTGTGTTTGACCACGACAAACGTCATGAAGTGTGGCCGTCTTTGCCTGTCTGTTTGGCTTGCAGACGCAATGCATTATGTGCGTGTGCCCATTCCTAATATTATTTGCACTGAACCCTCCAGCTATTGTCAATGTATTCAGTATGAATTTGCCTGTCCTGCACCCACTTGCTTACAGAATTTGAGGCCACCTTTTTCACAGTCACTGCCTAGCTGTAAACGCATTCAAAAATGAAGGAGGATATAGGGATGGGTTGAAGCACCAAAGAGGAAGAAACAAGGGGTCATTACACAGCAAAGACACACAGAGCTGGACACCTTTGGATATAGATATGGTATCGTAGTAACTGCGCGCACGCGATTTTGTTACATTTTGCGCACGCGCAACCGTTAATGCGCGGCAGAACTAGAATAAGACACGCCTCGGCCGCCGGATGCATGCCCTCTCGCTCTCAGCGTGAGCGAATAGTGATGGTCCGCTGCAAAGTTTGGCTAGTGTTTTTTTCGCAGGCAGTTCTCACAGTACCTATCATCTCTGGGACTGGTAAGCTAGCTGTAGTGATACGATGACAAGGCTTATCCCACATCGGACTATCACGTTTTTCAGATAACCTGCCGCTACTACTCCCATCAAAACGCTGCCTGTGCCCCAAGGAGGATTATAGATGCGAGGTGACCTCTGGAGTAGGAGTTGCATGGCGAACGGTTACAATCAATAGGACTGGATTGTCTGCAATAAACGATGAGGACACTCTTTATACTGAGGAAGGTGGCTTCCAAATACGTTTTCTAAGAAATCTAAGCAACTATACATCAGTTCTACACGTTAGCAACTTGAATTTGAATGAGACTGACATCACTTGTGAGGGTGTTTACATTGTTCAAATGAGTAGACTGAGATTGACTAACACTACCATAATATGTATAGCAGGTACGTACTTTGGCTATGTCTGAAATTTTTCCTGTGATCAAATAATTATTGTGCGCAAAGGTCCAGCCTCCCCTCCCACTAGTCTGTCAGTGGTGTGTGACTCCTCATCAGCTGTGGTCAGTTTCCAGTCTCCAGTGTATGGTGGAGAATGTGTGGACTATTATGTGGTCACTGCTGTCAGTGGAGAGAGGAATGTATTGTGTAATGCCACCAGTGATGCTAGTGAAAGAAACTGCAGTATTGATCTCGGTGATGGCAATGTCAATGACTATAACTTCACTGTCCATGGTGTGACTCGTGTCAATGATAGTTTTATCTACAACGGACACATTGCCACTGACTGCTGTAAGCATCTGAGTCATTTGTTAGCTAAATAAAACACCCTCTTTAACAGGTTTGCCAATTCCAGAGAATGTAAGAGCTGTTGAAGAGGAATGTGGTCAGGTCAATGTCACCTGGAAGGTTAGTGAATGATAATGGAAGCATAGTTATACAGGAATGACTATATATTACATTCAGAGCAGCCATAACATGACATCAGTCACCACAACCATCAGTTGGCGTGGGATCCACAGCAGTGGAGCCAGACACTATGAGAGAGGTAGTTCTGAAGACTCTCATCTACTGACATTAGACTACTCTGAGACTGGACCAGTGGAAATTGCTGTGACATTCTCTAGTGCTGTCTGTAACAAAACCACTACACACTCCCTCGGTAAGACTTAGTATGTTACAAAGTGTTAACAATGACCCCACTCTGTAGTTGACAGAAAAAGCTGTATAACTGCAAGTGAAACAACTCCAACCCCAACCCCAACCCCTGGTTTGTCGAGTGATAGAGTGCGATGTGAGATTGTGTGTACAATTTTTAGGTGATTTGGGTGTGACTGAGGCTGTTAAACCGACTGCAGATTCAGATGTCATGAGGGCTGTAAAACCAAATGCACAAGGATGATATAGGAAGTGGTCATGTTTTGGTGCACTATACTTGGCAACGACACAGCACCTCCTACATACTGGTGTATAACGAAGAATTAGCAACTTGTGATTTCTCACAGATGGGTGTGAATTCACATGCCCGGTTGTGGAGGAGTGTTCATCGACCTCATACACGGCAGTTGGTGTAGGTGTGGCTGGAGGAGTGGTAGTTGGACTTATTTCCGGGAATAGTCGGGACAGTCACTGTGCTGTTTAGTTATCATGAGGAAGAGAGCTTCCAAAGGTATGGTATAATGAACCTACATTGTTTGACATGACCATGCACCCTGTAGGAACCTCCAACAGAGACACAGAGCTGAGTGCAACAAAGTATGTCTGTGTGTCATACTGTACTCATTTACGTATATTGTTGTCGCAAGAGAATAACACTCTTTTTCCCCCTTAAATCCATCCCAAGACCATAGCTTGCAACTCAACAGATATATAGACCACAGTTAGTTAATAATAAGACTCTGTCACCTGTCACACTTGCATTTGAGCCACTAAATCTGTGTATGGCTTAAAAGGCCACACACTTTGTTGCGTGTGACATGGAACTTCAATGTACAGGTATGATGGGTCCAGGCAACATGTTTCAGGCTATTTGCAACATGTTTCATGAACCCATCATACCCATAGAGTGAAGTTGCATGAGAATTTTGTCTCACGCAACAAGCTCGTGCTGTGTAGATGTTGGCCTTTAGCGAATATGCTCCAGTTTGCAAATCCAAGGTTAAAGATATACATTTCTTGTAGAGAAGGCAAAACATACATGTTTACAGTAACTTTCACTCTCAGTTACTTTATCATACTCCTCCCTCAACACACACAGTGTTGTTTCTGAGTCTCGACCTCCAGCAGTGGTGTATGAGACAGTGAGTGATGTGGTGACACCCACTGGTCCAGACACCAGTGAGAACGTGGCTTATGGAGTCTCTCACTCTCTACCCACCACCACACAACACAACCCTGCTTATGGACACAAACTCCGAACATATGAACCTGCTTGATCCTCTGTGTGCTCTATTTGTGATTGCTTATCGGTTTTTGGAATAGACTGTGTAAAAAGAAACATGTTTGTGTGAGTTCAATGGGAGGTGTCTTCTCCAAGGGAATGTCCTCATAAACAGGAGGTATCTCAGTCTGGCCTCTCTTCCCCTTCCTATGACAGTGACCATGACATTGAACACCAACAGTCCAGCAGTGAAGCTACACACTACACACACTACTCCTGCTGTGACCACTGCTTCTGCTGGGCTCAGTTCCCAATAATGCATAAATTAGAGAATGCCTTGAGTGAAACATCAACTTTGTAATTGGACTGTGTCTTTGTGTGTGTGTGTGGTTAGTGAATGGAAGAAGTGGGCCACACATGACAGCTAAGCGCGCAGCGAGGGTTATTGCAGTTGGTCTGTCTGTGTGTGTGTGTGTGTAAAAATGTCAATGTCATTGCTAAGTGGGTAGCTAGCTATTGCAAGTTCCAGAGCCATAGGTCACAGCAAGTCATGTCCTTGAAAAAAGGAGGCGTGGCAGTTGTCTTCCGAATGGACGAAATGTCACCCCATGCTCAATATCATTCCCATTAAAGAGTATAAACAAATAACCAGTTTTGGGTGTGCAACCCCTTAATTCTGATATCAGCTGAATGGGGATGCTCAGCAGTTGTGGAGAACGGCAAGTCATGGCCGGGACCAGCGATTTTGGGTGTGTTTGTTATGGTCTTTTTAGATAGCTATGCTGATGTTTTCTTCACAATGTTAACATTACCACAGCCCCAAGGATGCCTACATAAATTTTAGGTAGTTTTATAAGCACAACAGTTGACTCCGTTTCAGAGTAGCTGTCACAATGAAGACTGTCATCCTGCAACTGCTGGTACTCAGTGCTTTCTCTACTGCTGCTGAGGAACACCGCAACATCTCTGGTTGTCCTCTTTGGTACTACCGACCCTCTCGTAATAGCACCGAGTGCATCTGTGGACGCGACTGGAATCGTCTTATTTTCTGTCGGAATGGTCAGTTATTCTTGAGAGATAACTTTTTGCTTGGGACTATGAACACGAGTGACCCAGACGTTCCTTCTGCTCCCATCATTGGTGAGAGTTGGTTTGTTTTCTTGGATTCTGGTGTTGTCTCGGAAGAGTTCAGAAGCTATTACCAGCTGCCGAACACGAGCAATGAAACAGAATTAAATGACAGGCTATGCCATCCAAATAACCGAAAAGGGTTTCTGTGCCAAGATTGTCTCCCTGATCATGGTCCTAATGCCTACCATCCCACATGCTCAAAATGTGACTTGTCTGTGCCTCTCGCTCTGATGCTATATCTTCTATCAAAGATTGTACCCGTCGCACTGTGGTTTGGGCTCATCATGACTTTTCGTATTGACCTTTCCCAAGGACCTCTAATAGGCTACATGATATTCTGCCAACTGTATGTGTTCATTGTAAGAGAGGACGACAGACTCCATCTTCAACAGCCTTTGAAATCGCTAGAGTATTCATCGTTTGTCTTGTCTTCTATTTGGAGCTTAGATGTGTTTCACATAGCACATATTCTGCGCCCTTTTTGCATTAGTCCACAGCTAAAGGTGAGAGACGTAATGCTCCTGAACTTTATATCTGTTCTTACCCCCTTGCTGCTGGCTGTTACAACTTACTTTGTCATTGAACTTCAAGCACGTTGCTGCAGTTGGAGGTGCTGGATGCCATTTCATCGTTGTTTCGCTCTTGTCCGTAACTGGAGTGCCACTGACTCCCTCGTTCATGCCTATGCTTCTCTCTACATGCTTGCTTTCTCCACTTCTCACTACAACTATACAGTTTTTTCAAGTAACAAACTTGTATGATCCATTTGGTGGTATCGTTAAGCATAACGTGCTGGTTATGCATCCTAAGTTGCACGTATACAGCAATGAAATGGTTGTCTATTTTGTAATTGTGATGAGTCTGCTTTTCTTTCTCGGAGTCGTACCGTCCTTCCTTGTTCTCCTCTATCCTATCAAAATATTCAGAGCAAAGCTTGAAAAGTGTTTCTCGCAAAGATGCCAGATTGGCCTGAACACTTTCATTGAGACTTTTCAAGGGCCATTCAAGAACGGATGCAATGGAACACGTGATTTCAGGATAGTACCTGGACTAGTGGGCTGCCTTGTACTGATGTACACCATGTCTTCCTGCCTACAATATGTGATTACCCATGACAGCTCCTATGTGCTTTTGGGCTTGTCAGCTGCCATGGCAGTAGCTTCCGTTCTGTGCGCATATTTACGTCCTTGCAATCGTCGACTGCCAACCTCTCCCTCACATTTCACTGCATGTGGTTGGCTGGGTTTGCCATGATCATCTCCCTGTGGAACATTGCACCTAGTGTACAGTCTCTAATGTTGATGGTGCTTCTCGGTGTCTGTTCACCACTACCGCACATCTTGATGGCAGGGTGGTTGGTGCACATGCTGGACACCAAGGTTTTACACTTGCGACGCAGATGCTCTGCCTGTTTCAAGTGGTTTGTGGCGGGAATCCCACTGTTTGGTAACAGAATGAATGGTGAACTTCTCCCGGACCGCTTGATTAATTCCCATCAATATCGTGAAATGTTGTGAGACTCAAGTTGGTTTTTGTAACAGGTGCTTTGAACACCTGTTTGCTTACAATTTGTATAACTGAAAGGGAAAAGCATAGGAATGGGACGGTAGATGAGAAGAGGAACAAATTAATGTTTTCTCCTTGTATGCAAGCAAGGATCTGGGTGAGCTTAGCCGACGAGTGACTTGAGATCACTCCAGATTCTGACGTTGCAGTCCTGACCTATCATGAGCACGTTTTGTAGCGACTAATTTCATACCTCCATTCGCCAAGCAACTGCCCTCCCCCAAGTGAAGGGTCTTCTTACGCTTAGCCATGCGGTTATAATACAGAAAATTGCAATGAGACAAGACAGGGGTATTATTACCTATTGCTGAAACAGGTTCAAAGCATTGAGTTCTGACATCGATTCATGGCATATATTAGGTAAATCAGAGTCATTTCCTATCCATTCTTGGCAGACCGAAAATATAATTTGTTACGCTTGGCGTTCCTTTCATACGGCGGCGGGCCTTTCGGCGTGTGCGCGGCCCGTCTTGTCCAACGCACCGAGACACAGGTAGAGAAACCAACTTAGACGGCGACACCATTGAGACTCTAGCAAAGCGTCAAATATTCGCCCGACATTGCGTGGGCGTCGATAGATATTATAGTCCTAATAACATAAAATCAACGACCAGTGCACGCATGCTGGCCGCGCAGCACGAGGCGCGTTGCGAGCGAGCGAGCCGGGTTTAGTAACTATATACGCATGCGCTAAAAAAAGCGCGAGAGAGGGCGCGAGGGGTGGTCCAACACGGGCGCATCGAAACGCGACAGCGCGGTCATTGCAGGACGGCTCGACCTTCGACTCACCAGTATACACAGGCACCCACTGTGCACTCGCGGGCATCAGCGAATCGGTTAGTAGTTGGCTGAAGGTATGTTTAGTACAGCTTCGTAAGATGGTATTTTACGCAAATGCTCATCGCACCCAGCTACTCTGACGCAGACGATCGCATACAGACGTAGTGGCTGAATGAGGACAAATACTAAGTCATTTCCGTTGGTGGGTCTGTTTCTGCTGCCGACAGCCCAAAGGTGAGGCCATTCACGCACAGTTCAAAAACCACAAGATCGCCTACTCATATATCATTGAGTTTCTGAAGCAAGCAGAGCCACAGGACCGAATTGGAGAGCCATTGTAAATGCTCTCAGGAGTCCCTCAGTTGCCTAACAGCACTAGCTAGGAAACTAGAAGCAGCTCATTCCCTGACTCTACCTCAACATGTTATGTGGCACCTGAGACTACTGGTATGTCACCATCTGCCAATTCATCTGTCTTATGGGTCATTACTCCATCATTTCAGACACAGAGTCTGCAGCAGACACTACTGCTGTTGATAATGTCAAGTTAAACCCATCCCCTCAACTGAGCGCTGTACCTGGTGAGGCATTGTTACATAATGCATTAATAGAGACTCTAAGAGTGAAAATTCTTGGAATAACATATTACATTATTGTGCATGAAATAGTAAAATACCTTTTATCATGGCAGAACGTTTCTTTGAAGGAGTATAGGTTTATCTGATCGTATATAGACAAACCTAAATTTTGTTTCCCACATGCAGCCCCCGACCACTACAATGTTGCCACTGCTGCCCCTCCAGCGAAAAAGCACAAAAAGGCTCCTGCTCTTGCTGCCCCCAAAAAAGGTAGCTATAACTGAAAGAGAGTGGATTAGTCATACTGATTTCTTTTACAATTGCAGCACTGCAGACACGTTTCATCAAAGGTTAGATTACATCAAAGTAGCAAGTACTTAAGATACCTGCACATTGCAATGCAGATATGTAATAATCACAAGGCTGCTAATTTGGCACAACCAAGTATATATTGTCCCCAGCCACTTTTCCTCTTCAAAGGGCGGGGTGTGGGTACAAGAATAGCACACACCGGTCCAATCTACAACAGTGCACAATCTTTAAAAAGACAATCATGAGTCATGAAATCATCATCATGATTTAACTCTGTCTCAATCTTCTTCGTCTGGAATGTCAATTATTACATTCTCACACCTTTTTGAATGAAGTCATAGTACCTGGAACAGGTGACAAAAGAAGTGCCATAGTTACAGATGCTCATCATGCTACAAGTCTTTTTTATGTTTAGCTACAACTAGCTAGCAAATAATTATGTACCCTAGCCATTGCTAAAATGTAGCTTCAGAAAGGTGCCAAGGATTTGCACTTTAGCAATGAATCCCCAAGTCACACCTCCAGACCAGATGGTAGCTAACAAGCTATAGCAGCTGTTTGAAGACATTCATATTATCATCCACCGTGAACTCAATGGATGGTACTATACTTTTTCCATGACCCAACTGCCTGTAGTTGTAACATTGAGCCACACCTATAAGCCTTGACAAAT